TCCGGAGCTGAGTCGGAGGGCAGGGGAAGCGGGGGGGGGGACAAGAGGGGGAGAAGGAGGAGGAGATGATGGTGGCAGAAGAGCCGCGATTGACAAACTATCTCAGCCAATCTCCTTGCCTGGGGCTTTTTTTTTTTCTTTTTGGAGAGGGGGGTTGCGGATCAGCCTTGGAGAGATTTGGGGAGGAGGTGGAGAGAGGAAGGAGGGGGGGAGCGGTTTCCAGAGGCTGCGCGCACACTTCACATCCCTGCCTCCAGACTCCTCGGTGGTTTCCTTTTTATATATATATTACGATTTTATTTTTTGTTGGGGCGAGTTGGCCCCTAAGGGAGCAACGGGAAGGCAACCAGAAGAGGGAGGGAGGAGGGAAGGGAAAAGGGGAGGTGGGGAGGCGCTTCGGAGGCCACCGGGCGTCACTCCGGGGTTACGAGGCGGCGTCGTGTGAACCGGTGAGGTCTGGAAGGAGAGCAGCCCACCTGGCAGGGACCGTGGGTTGTTGTTTTGTGTTATTTTTCCTTTCCTTGGGAGGAGAGGCCAACCAGCGCGTTTAAAAGCAAAAACAAGGTAGCTTTGGTCTGTGTATCTATTTTGTCTGTTGGGTCTTGTCACTTTTTTCTTTCCTCCCCTTTGTTTTTGTTGTTTGGTTTACGGAAGAAGTCTGGGGTCCCCTCCCTGGTTTACATGTGAATTTTTTTAAAACAAATTGATTAGGTCAGCACTTCCCAGCTTTGGCGCCCCAGATGTTCCTGGATGGCCACTCCCAAAATCCTGGCCATCACAGCTGGTGGTGAAGGCTTCTGGGAATGACAGTCCAAGAACATCTGGAGACCCAAGGTTGGGAATATATCCGGCTTTTTCCTCTCTTGTTCTAAAGCTATCGGAAGCCAGATTTCAACGGAGCATCCGGGAGGGGGCGAAACTTCCTGACTGTTAGAGCAGCACAACAATGGAACCAAGGTACTCAGGAGGAGGAGGTGAAGCGCTCCAACCCTGGAGGCCTTCAAGAGAAAAATGGGACCACCACCTGTCAGATCTGCTCTGATTTGGATTCCTGCCTTGAGCAGGGGGTTGGACTTGATGGCCTTCGAGGGCCCTTCCAACTGGCAGAGTTCTATGATTCTATGAAATATTTTTGGCCTCAGAGAGAGAAGCAGGCGGGAAAGGACGGACAAATAGAATAATTGCTTGGTACGTGGTGATCGTCTTGTCAAATTACCAGATAGCAACCTAGTATTATTATTATTTTTTCCCCCAACTTTTGCTATTCTTGGAAATGTTCCAGCATTTCTTCCTAGTCTTTTCTTCTCTTGCAAAAAAAACCCCCGTATCTTAGGGATTCAAGGAAGATGTTTTTGCCCAGAAGCCCTTGTACCTTCCTACCTTTCCTTTCCTCCCTTCGGGCATTTTCTTACGATGCTCAGCAAGCTTTTCAATTTCTTTCCCACCTTTCTTTAGAAAAGACTCCAAGATTCTTGGAAGCAAGATTGGTCTCATAGGCGTTTGGCACTCCCGCGTGTTAAAATCTCCCTGAATGCTGAGATGGTGGTTGGAAGGCTACTCCCACACTTCCTCCTTGATTTAATAGATTTCTAGCTGCAGGGAGGTAGTGTTTTTTTTTTTCAAGGGGGAGTTTTGGGGGCTTTTTAGCTTTCGGTGGGGCAGCAACCAAATAATACAGTTCTGACTTAATGACCTTGAGGATGATCATGGATACCTTACTGTCACCTTCACCCTTCAGACTATTACCCTGTAAATGTCAACAGTGAGCACAGATTTTGATACTTACTCAGCTTTGAAAACCCCTCAGTGGCTGCCAACTGGGCCAGATCGAGGGGAGAGACTGAAAAAAAAAGGTGAAAATAAGGTTTAGATGGACCCAGCTGGAATGCAGATCTGGACAATTGGGGGAAAAAATAAAACATGATTTGAGTGTGATTGTTGGGGTTCGTTGTGTCTTCTCTGGCTTTCTGACCACCTGCTTGCCAGGTGAAAATGGACACAGAAGCGGGGTTGGAGAGATGATGAATTAGACCTCAGCAATAATCTCCAGCAAAACTGGTAACTGAGAAACACCAACATCCACCTTAATCAAGTGTTGGTGAGATAATCTTTTTTTTCTGCATCCTTATTCATCATCATCATCTCTCTCTCTCTCCTTGTTTAACTACAACAGCGAAAAAATGGAGAAAGTAGGAGGAGAAAGAAGAAATAAAAGAGGAGGAATCAAAGTAAGAAGAAAATGGGTGGGTGGTTTATTTTCCAGGGGTTTAATAAAAGTTCTGCTTTCTCAGGGCAACCCAGTCCAGGTGGAACTGGAGATCAAACCACACCATTTAAAAATGTTTCCCTTCTGCTCTGAGGATGCTTTCTCATCCCGGCACACACATCCACCAAAAATTGTATGTCCCTGAGAAATATAGCACGGAAAAGGACCCCCTGGCGAGCCGTTTTTTAAAAAGCGAAAGCAAACCAATTTGTGAAACGTGGGTTGAACCAATCTGAGGTTAGAATAAGAGGCAATTTTTTTCTTTTGCTTCTAACAACGTGCTAACTGTATCATTGGGTTTGGCCCTGTTCTTTCAACCGGGAGGTGAAGAAGAGGCCTGGAAACGTAAGCCCAAGGAAATGTGTTAGCCGTTCTGTGTTAGCCTCTAATTTCTTTGTGAGGGGCATGGAGGAATTGCAATATATATATATATATAGGTTGTTTTTGGGTTTTTTGCAAATATCCTGTGTTCATGTAACAAATAGATCAAAAGAAGCCTGAATGATCTGTGGAGGCAAAAAATTGTTGAGACTGAGGCTGTCCTACTTTGGGCGCATCCCGAGAAAGCAGGATTCTCTGGAAAAGACAATCATACTGGGGAAAGTGAAACGCAGCAGGAAAAGAGGAAGGCTCAATACGAGATGGGCTGACTCCCTAAAAGAAGCCACAGGCTTGCGTTTGAAAGAGCTGAGAAGCGCTCTTGAGGACAGGCCACGTTGGCAATCGCTCATTCATAAGGTCGCCATAAGTCAGCGCACGACAACAACGAACAGCTATCGCTCACAAACACATGTGAAGTGTGTCTCCGCGACCTGGATGCCTGTGCATTCTGGGGGGTGGCTGCGAGGGCGAAACCGCCGACTTTCGAAGAGCACCTTGCTTTCCTGCTGCGGTGCTGAGGCATTGTGCCCGCAACAAAGCCGTCTTGGCCATGGCGCCTTCGAGAGCGCGGCCCGGATGGGAGTTTCTCGGCAAGATGCAAACACAAAGCTGAGCTCTCTTGTGGATATTTTTAAAAAAAAAACACCTTTTCATTCTCTCCCTCTCTCTCTCTGAAGGTAAGTGGTTTGGAGGAGAGACATGAATGATTTGAAAAGGATGAGGTAAATGTCCGTTTTTCTCCCTCCTATTTTCTTTTTTTTTCCCTTCCCCTCCCTCTCTCGCTCGCTCTCTGTCATTCCCAGGCCTTTTGCCAACGTTTGACAAGACAGGCTAAAGGCCGGGGCTCCAGATGGCCCACAGCGCCTGATGCCAGCATCCTTTTTTTAAAATGTTCCAATTTTTTTTTTAAAAAAAAATGTTTCTTTAGCTGGTGCTTCAGAAGGAAGAGCCAGGAGGCCGAGCCATTGCAGGTGCCCTCCCAGAATCCTCTGGGGCCGTGTTGAAGAATTCCGTGGCATCCTGGGAAATTTAAGATGGCGGTAGAGGCCATTGTTTTCCCCTCAAGGGATGCGCCACTGCCAAGACTTCCATCTCTGCTGAGCTCCGGAAAGGGGTGCACCGGATTAGCACGGGATCAGCTTAGATCTGCCCAGCCTGAAGAAGCGTTCTGCTGGACCCAGAAGCTTGCCTGCTTTTGAGCGCATCCCCCCAGTCTTGTTTTGAACTGTGGTTTTTTCAAGGTTTTGCCTTCTGGCAGCCCGGAAATAAGGAGAAGTCGCACACCTAAGGATGCAAATGAACCCTTGCGGTTTCTCACGCCCTAACATCCTTCATTATCATGGAGTGGATAATTAGTGCGCCTTGAGATAGCAACCAGCATCGTTTGGGTCTGCAAGGCTAAAAGCCAACCGTTTTCGTTTTCTTCTAGAATTTTCCCCACAGCTCTGACAAGCTTTCCAGTGTTTCCCCTCCATGAGCCGGAGAGCAGTGCGGTAGAGTGGCTAGAGAGCTGGGCTAGGATTGAGGCAAGCCAAGTTCAAATTTACAACTTATCCCTAACATCTCAACCGATCGCCCGAGAAGAGGCCATAATCCCTACCTCGGAGGGCTGTTGTGTGAATACTGAAGGTGGAGGAACCCTCCATCTGAACATCGTCATAGAAAGGCAGGCTGTAATTAATAAATGATGGATGGATGGTTGGATGGATGGATGGATGGATGGATG